CTGGTGACTGCTCGTCAGAGACGTAGAGCTCCAGGGCCAGGGCAACCTGTAGAAAGGTACAGGGAGAGAGAGAGGACACACTACGGGAGAGAGGAGACACTATGGGAGGGAGAGAGGACACACTACAGGAGAGAGGAGACACAAAGTTAGTAATGTGTAATGGTGGCATATGGAAGCATGGAGAGAGAGGAGAGGGAAGGAGAGGAGAGGGAAGGAGAGGAGAGGGAAGGAGGTGATGTAAACAATAAACATAACTGAATAATATGATGTACATCAATGTAAACTGTGCCATTTTGCATAATGAGTACTTTTACTTTTGCAGTATATTTTCTGTCAACACTTTTGTACTTTTACTTAAGAACACAGTATTTCTCCACTGTGGTATTGCCACTTTTACTTAAGTAAACAATCAGAGTACTTCTTCCACCACTGGATGTTTCTCTATACAACAGTACTGGCTGTGTTTCTAAAAATGGTTCTGTTCAAACGCTGTGCAACTGTACTGGGAACTGCTTCTGACAAAATTCCACAGTGTATCTGAGCTGGCCCCCTGTGACAGACTGGCGACCTGTCTGGGCTGGACCCCGCCTGTCGCCCAGTGCCAGTTGGGATTGGATCCAGCCCCCCCAGGACCCTATTCAGGAATAAGCATGATGGATGGATGGATCTGGTTAGCTAGCCATCTGCAGCTGGGTGTCTGGTCAGCTGACTGTCTCAGATATACAATAGGTGACACAGTATTAGTTAACTTCAGGAAGCTCTGTCATTGGTCTAAGCCTGCTAGTTAGTTTTAGTTTCGGTTGAGTTGTTTTACGCCACAGAGCAGAGGCTATGAAACTACAATCCATGATCTCATCCTGTCTCAAAGTTAGGGAAAGTTTGAAACAAATATACCTTCAACTAAACATTGTTTTGCCTTTTACTAGCACATGCAAATGCCGTCAGAAAATGGTCAGCTCCCTTTCTGCCGCTGCACAACATCCCAGGATCCAGCTGCAAGCTCAACTCTAGTTTACAGCTGGAGACGTTGTATCTAGCATCGCTGCTCCCCTCTCTCCTTCGCTGTGCCGACTGTGAGTGTAAACTGCTGGGAGTTATGAGGTCAGATTCCAGGCGCTAGACAGTAACTACACTTCTGTTTGAAATGCAAGCTGGTGGAGTGCACTACAACGAGGAATCAAATTATATAAAGGGCATTGTTTCAAACTGTCTGACATGAGGAGGAGCAGCTAGTAGCCTAGTAAGACACTGAGACATCTGGCTGAAAGGTCAGGTCTCTGGACATGAGGTTACCTGTACAACCACTGTTTCAGCAAAGACTATAAATGCTGTTGAAATAATGGGCAGGTTAGAACTAGATACCCAAATGCAACTCACCAAACCTGTGTTTCTGAGAAAGATCATTAAGTGCAGTGGAAGATACTGTAAAAGGGCTGTTGGGTAGATGATGCTACTGTAGGGGTTAGCTGTAGCACAGTCAGCTGCTCTGGAGTCTTTGGTCTGAATACTAAACAGTACGTCTGGCACAAATGAAACCGGCCAAGCGACGCCTTTTCCCTGTGAACAGCAGTAGCATGCGGGATGGGGTGGGGGGTGGGGGTGGGGGCCTTCTCAGTGCCAGGAGAGCCTTGATTAGACAGATGGGAAGCTGAACAGTGAGGATTACATACAAATCCTGGACCAGAGTCTGCATCCGGTGCCAGAAAGCTCAGTGAGAGAGGGAACAAGGAGCCAAAACACACAGCGAGACCAGCGACAATCAAGGTCTCATTGCGACTTTAATCACACAGCCCTCAGACTTCCTGTCCGTCCTTATGGCTAACTCATCCTTTATTAATGGGGAGCTGCTGTGATGGATATGGGGCATTCATTCTGGCAATAATGGCTGAATCCTGATTGAATCCGAGGCACTTTATTTAACCAATTCTTCCATTAGCAAGAACTGATTTAAACAATACACAACTGCCCCTTTACTGCACACTATACGCCCCCGCCACGTCTGATATCATCCTGCTCAATCCTCGTCACTTCCCGGAGGCAGAGTATGAAATATTCAGTGGGCTGTACTTCCTCAGTTTGTCTGCCTGCCATCTGTTCTCTGCAGTCATGTCACTTTTCAGACGATCAGCTCTTATCCTGCAAAACGTGCGGTGGAATAAAGTGTTCTCAGAGATGTAAAGCATGTTCAGTAAGCGAGAAGGCAGCTCTCAGTTTTAAAGTTAAGAGGAAAGTCCTGTCTGGTCCAGAGCACCCGTTCAGTAGCCGATCAAAGTGTGTTGCTGTCTGAAAACTTGTGAATGTGTTGAGTCACTGCTTGTCATCACTGTGAAGCTACAGGTGGGAATTTTCTGAATTCAGTCACCTAAAGAAGTGGTTTCTAACTGTGAATGGACAAGAACAGGGAATGCATAACCTGGAGCCAGACCTTTTAACAAAGCTCCACTTGTCAACATTTTCATACAGTACACATCCTTGGACCACAACTCACAATGAAAATATTTTTATTTTTGTTATTATTATTATTATTATTGAGATGCTTAAATGGCCAAAAACTCCATGTCTCATCTTGCTGCAAATGTGGTTAACAGAATTAGACCTGAGCTACATGGTCTCAGAAAGAAATGCTAAGTTTCCATAAAGGCTCCTGAACCCACAATCTTCTCATTTTCATTTCTACACATTTTAAATACGTCATTAACAACTGCAGTAGCTCTGTCGGTGCTTGTTTTTATGTTGGGTTCACATTTTTTAAGCTAACATTCACATTCTAGTGACTTTTATGAGAATATGGTCAGACTATTTTTTCTATTATCAACTCCCGTTAACTAAGTAATGTCTTTCTTGTTACCATGGCCATCCGGCACGCTGCAGTGAAGTAACTCTTGGTGACGTCTCCATGTAGCAGACATCTTGACTTGGGAAATCACTGGTGGAGCTAATAACATTGATCGTGGCTGCATCAGTTAAGTGGGTTGTGGAAGCTGACATGACTCCTGGGACACTTCAGTGAACCTGGGCCATAGTTAATGCTAGTAATCACACTTGAATCTGCAGTTTTAAAGGCCTGTTGTATACAGTGGTGCTTTGAATGGACTGGGCAGCAGGACTTAGCTTGGACCTGTGAAAGTGAAATAAAAGTATTTTACCAGTTAGACCTGGTGCTATTTAACAATGTAGATAGCTGTGCTTGTATTTACCAGCATCCCAAGGTAAACTGAAATAGATTCACAATGCTCAAAGCACTGAAAATAATATTTAAATGAACTTAGGAGGACCCAGAAGTAACATCCCAGTAAAGATCAGTCTGACAACTTTCTTCACTGAGAAATTCTTTACCACATGTAAAGGAGGAACATAAAAGGTAGTGAAACCCTTTGGCTGCCGTGCTGGATTCTTCTCATTCGGCCTTCTCTGCCGTATTTACCAAAAATGATTCTAGCACTTCCCCTCTCCCCTTGCTCACCTAAGTTGGTGTCCGCCCAGCTACATCAGACTATTCACTGGCAGGGACCTGCCTTCACTACGTACGAATGGAGGTACAGTATAAGGATTCAAGTTGCTTGTGTACCTGACGGTTTGGGGAAGGTTAAGGAGGTCTGCGCAGCTCTTGGGCATCGGCAGACCCCCAGTAGGGACAGAAGAAATGGGTGGGTAACGAAAAGGGGAAGTAGAAGTACGGTGGTTTCAGTGGTTTTAAACAGAGTGAAAACAGAAGAGGCTTAATTTGGGTCAAGTCAACAGATAATTACATTATCTCTATTTGGGGCCACATTAAAGAAAAATGAGAGGACTTTTTTTTTAAACTTTGCATCTTGACAGTAAAGTCAAACTGTGAATAATAAATTTGAATTGTGTTTGACTTTATTATTGACAAGTAAAATAAAAAAACTTGCTCCTCTCAGTTGATTTTTCCGTTATGTGGCCCTGCTCCATCGTAGCCCAGTGAGGTTTGTCCAAATTTGATTTAAAACTCTGACCATGCTGCCAAAGCTTTTCAATCATACTAAAGATCTCGAGTCAAGCTGCAGGAAAATGTTGTACAGAATGATGTGCAACTTGTGTGGTGTTTTCTATGTGACATTACGCTGCAGCAGTTCAACGTGTGGGCTAACACACAGCACATTGGCTGCTAATGCTCTGGCCTCTCCCTCACTCGGTCTGTTTTGTATGTAAGCCTGACCCACTTAAGCTGAATGCAGTGCTGCCAGAGTGATGTGCATCAGTGTGTGTGTGTGTGTGTCTGAGATAGTAGCTGTTTGTGAGATTCTCTTTCTGCTTCCACAGTCTCCGCCTGCCAGAGGACGCTGACTCAGAGCCAGGCTGCTCAGGAGAAGCTACGAACAGGGATTCGCTGTTTTCTCTCAGTTTTGTTTTTGTGCATGTGTCTGCGCAAGCACATGTAAATTATGTAGGAGCTGGGTGAATGGCACAGTATAGGACTGCTTCTGTCTGCAGTGTGTCGTTAGCCAGGGAGACACATGCTGACATCAGGACAAACACAAACACACATACACATGCAACTTCCTGCCCTCTGTCTCCGTCCACTTCCTTTGCAGACCTGTCCACCTTGAATTAAATCCCATGTAAGATCCTGTCAGTTTGCTTTGTTTTTTTTTTAAATAAAATCTGCTCCTGAATAAGTTTTTCATCCAGTAGGACACAGCAGATTATTAATTCTTCCACTTATCTTGGAAAGATTTTACCTCCACAAACACACAGCCATCATCCTGGAGGTAGTCACAGCAGATGCCCTGCAGAGCGTATTCATATGATGGATCGTGTTTCTGCATTCAGAGATCATGTGGGTTTTTTATCGAATCCTCCCTGCTTTTCCGCCCACTCCATTCAGCTCCTACTGCTCCTCATACCGAGCTCCACTCCCACTCAGTCACACAGTACACATGAGGGGAGCTTTCCACAAATCTAAATATTATGTCTAAAAATTTTATTTGACAATATGCTTCGTAGTGTTTTCACATTTTATGAATCACAGCAGACACCTGGTCTGTAATTAAAAGTGAACAAGTCCAGAGACATCTGCACCTTTAACAAAAGCTTCTACAGCGACTGATTGCTGCACGTTTAACATGGTGATGCTACAGTTCTGAAGGTTTCAGAGGTTTCTTGATGTCGGTAAAATCTCAGACTTAAATTCAACTGAACTCAGGTCATTGTTGAACTTTGACAGCATCAGTAGTTTTGCAGACAACCCACTCAGGCACCTCATTTTAATTTATGTGATCAAGTTTTTTTTGTTTTTCTTACAAGGAGACTCAATAATTAGATCAACAATCAACCCCCAGAAATGCAAAGTGTAATTACACTACCAGTCAAAATATAGACACACTATTCCCTTCAGCTCAGTGGGACAGTGTGTCCATCTTTTTGACTGGCTTGTATGTTTATGCTATATATACACTCAGCTAACAGTTGTGACTGCACTTTTGAATAAAGCAAAGCCGTTTTGTTTTTATTATATCTTGACTACACACATTGGTCCAAACACTAAAAATGATTTTATCTTTTAAAGTCATTGTGTTGCTTTAATTTCCTGTATCAAAGGTTTTTCTCTAGTTATTGCTGTGTATTAATCTGCACTTGCATTTTCTTAACTCTGTACCTGCTGCTAATTGTATCTGAAAATGCTGATATGAGGCTCCTCCTGCAGGAAAGTCCCACCTTGCCATCGTGCAGCGAGTGAACAACGAGGGCGAAGGCGACCCTTTCTATGAGGTAATGGGCATTGTCACCCTGGAGGACGTCATTGAGGAAATCATCAAGTCAGAGATCCTCGACGAGACCGACCTTTACAGTACATGCACGCACACACACGTCAAAGGTGCACATGTTGTAGACTCACTGCATGAACATTAAGAGCTACACGACCGAAGCGGTCATTTTTTGTTTGTCTGTGTGTGTCCGTTCCGTCAGCTGATAATCGTACGAAGCGTTGTGTCTCTCACCACGAGCAGAAGCAGCAGGACTTCTCCATCTTCAAACTGTCAGAGAACGAAATGAAGGTGAAGATTTCTCCTCAGCTTCTGCTGGCAACACACCGCTTCCTCTCCACAGGTAACAGCCAATCACCTCACTGGTCTGATGTGTCTCTAACAAACATCCTCACAGGGAAGACGAGCTGAGGAAAGATGAGGAAGGATGATCCCTCACCACAGAGCCACTCTCAGAGTTTACAGGGTCTTTTCAGGATTTTGTCAGAATGCTTCTGTTCTGACCTCGAAGGAACCTGAAATAGACATCTCTGCTTTTTGGGTCTTTACACCTGATATATAAGCTTGTTTTTAGACCTGAAGAGGGCATAACACACTCGGTAAAGACAAATACACACAGGCGGCTGTGGCTCAGGAGTGGTTTTCTCCTCACCAGAAAGTTGGTGGTTTGATTCCCACTTACAGCAGTTCATCAGTTGAAGGGTCCTTGGACAAGACCCTGAACCCCTGGTGGCAAGGCAGTGACATCAGTGAGGAAGTTTCTCCACTAGGAAAGGAACGATGATTATATTCACTTAACATTGGTATTCTGCAACTTTCCATCCCTTCATAAACCGGTTTGATTTTCCCAGATGTGGTAGTGTTGAACGTGTTCACGTAAATTGAAAAGAAAAGACTAAATATAAAGATATTTCACAGTGTGAAATTTATTATGCATTAACGTATCAAAATAAGCATGTGCACATGGATCCCATCTGTTTATGATAAACAGAAAAGACTAAATTCAACTTAGCAGTACACAACATTTATATGAAAGAATGTTGCTCTCTGATTGGTCCAAAAACTGTTGGGGAGGAATTGTGGTTTAAACTTAATTCTCCCAAGATTGGTCCTTCAGTCCGTCCATCCTCCTCCTCTGATCCAATGGTTGTAAACAACACCCTAAAAGGGAGGAATACTTGCCCTGTCTTAATTCTTACATAGACACCTATGTCTTTCTTTGTTTCCAAGAAACTTTTGGCACTAACCCCCCTTTTAACAATAAAACTTCTCTGCCTGTGTGTGTCTGTATATTGCCCTGTCTTTTGAAGTTGTCTTCCTCTTGTTGGCTTTTAGATCTAATCTCTTGTTTATTACCCCTAGTGCCCCAGTGACCCCAAATTCCCTGGCCTCTACAGCCAGGTAGTAATATAACTTAACTGTGGACCCTACACATAGGGTGATATGTAACTACATAACATAAACACAACTGTGAGATTAAAACATATAAACTTATGTATGCTATATAATAAAAACCCTAACTAATTATTCATTTCTATCTAAAAATGAAAATCACCCTAACAGTAGAAGTACACAAACTCAGTACAAATTAAAAAAAAATACTCTACTACAAATAGAAGTACTACTTCAAATTGATTACTTAGGTTGAAGTAAGACAGCTGTGCTCTGAAACGTACTTAAAGTACAAAAGTATAAGTACTTCACCAAATGAAACGTCTTTTAAACACTTGAATTTGATGCTGTTGATAACATGAATGTCCACATTTGTTCAACAAACATTCAAAGGTGAAATGGAAAAGCTGCAGTAAAGTACAAGAGCCTCAAAAACATACTTGAGTACATGTACTTAGTTACTTGTCACCTCTGGTTTGACCTCTGACTCATTGTCCCTCCATCCACCCGTCTCCTTCTTTCCCTCCTCAATCAGAGGTGGAGCCTTTCAAACCAGCTCACATATCAGAGAAGATCTTGTTGCGGCTGATCAAACACCCCAGCGTGGTGCAGGAACTGAAGTTCGATGAGAAGAACAAGCGAGCGCTGCAGCACTTCTTGTTCCAGCGCAACAAACCAGTGGACTACTTCATCCTGGTGCTGCAGGTATCTGCCATCAGGTCAACGCTAAAAATACTGCAAAAAAATTAAAACCGTATTTTCACCTTGTGCTGGAGAGAAGCTGGTGAACCACTGTGGTGAACCTGTGTGTCTCTGATGTCTTCCATCAGGGTCGAGTCGAGGTGGAGTTTGGTAAAGAGGCACTAAAGTTTGAGAATGGGGCTTTTTCTTACTTTGGGGTACCCGCCATCATGCCAGCAGGTACAAATACACACATACACCTGGTACTTATCAGGAACATTCAAGATCAAATCTATTCCTAACCCCCAGACCAAAACTCCTTCCTTTTCATGCCTGACCACTGTGTATATCTCATTCCTACCTGAGTATAATCACATGAACACATTCCCAGGTTTAATCTTCACCCTAAACTGAATACTTCCTTTTCATGTACTCCTCATGGATAGAAGTACAGAAAACCACAAACATATACTGCAGAACAGCCTGAGTGTGCACACTAATCAACATATCAAAGTCATGATTTTTAAATTATTTCTGCACACAGCAGTAATTTAACCGGGGAATCAAAATCAAATTTTATGACATAAAAACACATGAACCCTGATAAAAACCCCCAGAAGACTAAAAGAAAGTTGTGAGTGAAATGTGTTTGCTGTAGGCATGAACACAGTGTGTGTGTGTGTGTGTGTGTGTGTTTGTGGAGTGGAAACTGGATCCAAAGGAACCAAACTCTCCAGAAATCTCCAGTCATGGGATTTAGATTGCCTCGAGCACATTAACACTTGAATGCAGCATTCGAATGAATGAAAGCTTTCAGCCACAGCAGAGTGAGGAGGTGTCCTTGAGCCTGCTCACGGTGTGACTCCTGTATGTTTGAGAAACGTCCCTGTTCCCTCTGTTGGCAGTACAGAGATCCCCCTCTCGCAGCAGCGGTTTGGACCGCTCTGAGTCCATGCTGTACGGAGGGGGGAGCGTGGGTCAGCTGAACGGTGGGGGGAACGCCTACCTGCCGGACTACTCTGTGAGACAGCTCACACATCTACAGGTCATCAAGGTAACGTCTGAATGCCACATGAGCTCAGTTAGAGAGAGTGCTACGGATACTGTATACACACCAGGCCGGCAGTTTATTAGGTACACCTAGTTAAAACAAAGTCAGTCTGATACAACAGCGCTGCAGTAAATCCTCCTTCACAATGGCGATAATGTTCAGTTTGTCTTCAAAGTGTTTCAGAGAGGCATTGATTCAGTTGTGTGATCACAACTGGAGTTTGTGGTGGAACATGGATCAGGCCATATATTTTGTCAGAACCCTTGGGTACTGACAGGTCCATCGGGCTCGGTTCAGGTATCCACACTCCGGTTTGTGGTGCTATTCAGCTGTACTGCAGAGACTCACAATGGCCAGCAGCTGAAGAGCCTTTGCAGGGGATGTAGTTCTGAGTGGCCCGGTCTGTACTTCTTCTACACGTTTGAATCAACAGCTCTCTGAAACAGTGAAACAGCAGTTATTGCAGGACTGCTGGATTAGACTGTATTAGTTTTTCACTTGGCGTAAACTGCCAACTGAGAGAGAGGGCAAAAATCTCAGGCCAAATGAAACCAGGGTCATTGGCTGTTATCCAAACCCCTCTTAAGAAAAGGCAAAAACTGGTGTGTGATGGTGGCACTCGATCAAAGATGAGGGCTTTAGTATTCATCCTATGGAGACCATAAATACCCACAGCAAATTCTGTGAAAATGCATTTTGGGGGTAACTCGTCACTGACCTCTGATAGTGGTAGATGAAAGGTCGAGGATTGATGAGGCTAAACTAAAATAAACACAATTTTGTGGCAGTCTGGTCAGTGGTAACTAATTGTACTCAAGTACTTTACCCGCTGCACATTCACTTATGTTTGGGAAACATTTATGATTTGTGATAAGGATGATTTAGTATTCCTCTCACCCTTCCTTTGCTCCCATGGGTCAGATTACCCGGAGCCACTATCAAAACGCTGTAACAGCCACCAGGATGGACAGCTCTCCTCAGACACCTGATGCAGACACCCGTCTGGCAGAAGGCAACTCCCCGACCCCGGAGCCTCCGACAGCAGAGCATGCCACCGCGCCCATGCCCCCAGAGCACACCACCACCCTCATGCCTCCGCCTAGGGAGCTCAGCCGGCCCAGCTCAGCAAGAACCCGAGGACAGCAGTCCAGCATCCCACACAGCACCTCACTGCTGAACGAGAAAAACCGCATCGTCCGTGAGTATTCACAGGTCCGGACAAAAATGATGCAGTTGACCAAAACAAACAGGTTAGCTTTAGATGCTAACACATCCAGAAGGAAGAAGGCCACATCTGGATCCAGTCTGAGTCCTCTGGCTGCTTTTAACCCTCTCCATGTCAAACAGCTAAACCCATGTTAATCCTGGTTGTTGCTCTTTCTTTGTCCCACTCTCTCTGTGCAAAAGACACCACCTCTTCTTTC